CCTACATTCACACGTGTATCAACAGTTGCTGTCTTAAACAGTAAATCTACAACAATGAACCATTTTAATCTGCAGATAAACAGAATTTCATGTGCAGTCAGCTTTTCCTCTAGAACTTCAATAAAAAAAAGTTTGAGTTTGACAAGGAAACAAGGGGGGGGGGGGGGGGGGGTAGCACCCGGCATGGGCAAATTATTCATTTTCAAAGTTTTTGAGGACTGCATATTATTTATTTTCTAGGTAATTGAAAACAGACTATTTATTTATAACATTTTGACATATTATTTAGTTCGGAAATCTGTCTTTGCAGCCAATTACGCGCACAAAAAATAAAGTAATATTTTTGCACTAATTGTGTGCGCTTCTACTTTTCAATGTATTTTTCCTAGTGAGCAAAAAACCTAAGGAATCTATGTAATATATATATATATATATATATATATATATATATATATATATATATATATATATATATATATATATATATATATAATTCCTCGTAAATAAAAATGAAAATAATAACTTTTTTCTATTGTTTGTTTGATCATTTGGTTAAGAGAAAAAATGTTTTTGTTTTGTTTTTGTTTGTTTGTTTGTTTTTTTAATGAAGCAACAGTGACAAGAACGTAAAAAGAATGGTAGACGAAATGAAAACATGAGGGATTTATAAAATCAAACTCATTTGTTTAAAAGTGTGATAAGTGAATATTTAAAAGTTGTATTCAATTAGGATAATTAAAAGAAAAAAAAACAACAACATATGTACGCTGATTCTTTTTAAAAAAAATACAGAAAGGCCTTTATGGCGACGCAACCAAAATATTTTTTTTTTCATCCTTGTTATACAGTGTTTGTTGATATGTTTGATTTATTTCCATGTTATTGAACCATAAGGCGATGGTGTACAAAACAAAATAATAAATAGACAACTAAAATTATTTTGAATATTGAAAGTAAATTAAAAAAAAAGATAAGTTAATAAGACGACTAGTTACATGTAATAACGAAAATACAGCTGTAAAAAAAAAATAAAGAGATTATAATAAAGAAATAAACGACTTTATTAATTAACCAATCATAGACTGAAGTGTAAAGGCTCCGCCCACTTAATTTACATACCGTTCACCAAAGCGTACCGTTCACAAAACGAACCGTTCCGTGCAAGAAGCGTACCGTACCGTGCACAAAGCGAACCGTACCGTACACAAAACGAACCGTACCGTGCAAGAAGCGTACCGTACCGTGCACAAAGCGAACCGTACCGTTCACAAAGCGTACCGTTCCGTGCAACAAGCGTACCGTACCGTACACAAAACGAAACGAACCGAACCGTGCAAGTGGTGTAGTAGCACGTTTTAGGGTCTGTAGTAAGGGGTCATTAAATCTGGTGATATTTCTGAAACACCAAGTATTTCACCATCTTCTTTATACTGTGTGGTATAAAATATTAAAAAAAGAAGAGGAATTCAGATAAGGAAAAGAGTTTAGGCCTTGTAAACATTCATAAACAACGAAGGCTTTGATATTTTGCTCAGTAAGAACAACACAAGTGTTTCGAAGTGGGGTATCATTCCTATCCCTACCAGCTCTTTCCCTCTGCTGAACTCCTTTCCATTTTTCAATACTTTGCCAACACGAATCAATAGTAGACAGTGGAATACTTAGTATTTCAGAAGTATCACTATTTTTGTAATTCTTTGATAATAAACATCTACAATAGGCTTTCTTTTTTCAAAAGGACTCATTTTGAACATCAGCAATTGACAGGAGGTGTAGAAAGAAAACAGTAAGTTATTCATTAAACCTTCAAGTAAAATAAGAAAGAAGCAAGTATTGTCATTTGATTAAAACCTAACTTCAAACTAAAAATAAGTTACATTGTATTTTTATAATATTTTGAAAAAAACATTTCATGAAAAAATTCTCAATAATTTCTGGGAACACTATAAAACCTGCTTAAAAAAAATAAAGCCTGCCTGTCACATTGAATATTGAAATTTCTGGTCTTAGAAACTAAAGATTTAACTTTTTGACCTGTGATTATGAGCCATGTAGAAAGTTTTTTTTTTTAATTTTCCCATTTTTGTGTCACTGCCTCTCTTTTAATAATTTACAAATATGATGCAACATGATCAGCTTTGTAAGTTCCTCTTAATCCTCTTATTCTGAATGAGGAATTCATGTCACTGAATAAATAATCACCATTTAGGTAATCTGCAGTGCCTTCATCAGCAACTCAGTTCATTCTTTACCATATACATACTAGCCTGGAAGTTGTTTTTTTTCGGGGGGGGGGGGGGGGGGGGGGGGGGGGAATCAATTTTGGTCTAAAACTCTATGTCCGACTTATAGGCGAGTCCTATGTTTCCTTAGTTAAATTGACTTAAAACTGTCTTTTATTTAAATATGGAGTCGGTAAATAAATCGGTTATTGTTTTAAATTTCTAATATCTTTATAACATGATTGATTTAAATTGTGTAATTTACAGGAAAGTCCTATCTTTATATAAAGTAATGAAACAAATAGAAAGATCTTTTTAATTTTAGTTAGTCTGAACTTATAAAAAATACATGTACACCACATTTGACTTTAAACATATAATTATCATTTTAATATGAAATAATTTTTTAAAACGGTGATAAAATGCCTGTTATATAGGGTCCTCAAAGTAAAAATCTCCACTAATTAGATAGAGGTCACGTGGTACTGAAATGTCATTGGTGTCAATGGTCAATTTGAACTCGTAAAGCTTATCATAAGAAAAAATACATCGAATTTATTTTGATGTTAAATATACACAATATGGTCGGTGGAAGTTTTGACATCGATGATATTCCTATTGCTATAGATGGTCAATCTTTTATGTAAGAACATTTAACAAAGAGAAATAACCAAGAAAATACGCCGACAAGTGGAGAGGACTGTGAATACAAAGCCGTTGACAACTTGGGACTTCAACTGAATAGAACAATTTTCTAAATTTTGACTTCATAAATCTTTATAAATATGGGAATTTAACTTCTCATTATTTTAATAAATTGTATATATAAAAAATCCTGTAATCTACTATGTGTTCTAGCAGTGAATATCATGTACTAGAAATGACACTTCTTTAATGCAGCCGAATGTCATTACAAAGTGCACATCATTCCTGCTAGATTCTGAGCAACTTTGTAAAAATGTGTGTTGGTTTTTTTTTTAATTTTAAAAAAGTACCACTTCCTTCAGATATTTTATTATACAGTAAAAAATCGTGATTGGGCATAAATGATTGTTCTGGAGACAAAACCCTTGCATTTGCAGAAAGTCCCTTTCACCTCCCAACCAAGTCCAGGAAAAGTGAAATAAAATCTTCCTAAAACTTTTCTTGTGCACATTTCTGCATCCAAACACCACATATTAAACCTTACTAGCTGTCAATTATCCAATTATCAATTATTTATTTTCTAACAGGTTTAATAGACACAACAAATGAGCCATTTTGTAAACATAATCAGTACTTTGCTTGACAAGGATTGACTCCTATGAATGGCTTGTATCATTGGCAGTCAAAATATGCATTTTGAGAAATTCAAATTTTGAATCACTGAAACATCAAAAATATTAAATTTCTAGAAAAGATTTTCAAATGGCTGATTTTAAAAGCATATAAACTTTGTCATATCAAAAAAATTTTGAGACATGATAAAAATCAGTAATAAAGTAAACAAATAAAAACTTAAATATGATAATTGCCAATAATAGATCAAGCATAGAGTAAAGTCAATGTTCGTTATCTCGAACTTGATGGAGCCGAGAAAGAACTTTGAGATATCCGAGGGTTTGAGATATCGAGGGTAAAATACTTCAGAAATATGTGGTTAGGACTTCCCAATCACTTCAACAAATCCATGGTATTCAACATATCCGTGTTCGAGCTACCGAAGTTCAACCATATTTAAAAAAAACAAAACAAAAAATATGGCTTGGACATTGAGCACCTCGTAATTATAAAATTTTGGCATCATTTCTCAAAATATTTTTTGAAACAATATAGAGCATTAATTTGAGTTTGTGAAACGATTCTGGCAAAAAGCTGTACCCAATCATAAGAGGGTCAATGGCAAATCTCTTCAATATAAGCTTAAAAAAAATACAACTGATACCATGTACGATAAATGCTAGACAATTACAAGCACTCTAGGTATTTTTATTGCATCATTTCAATGCATGTTTGTTATTTAAAAATGTCAATTTGCTGTCAAGGCTAAATTACTGACAAAGAAATCTTGAGTGATTCCTGTAACAATGTCATTGCCTCTAGTTGCTATTGTGTAGGACTAAAATGTACACTCAATGTTTGTTTATTTTTAACAGAATAAGAGCATTAATGTGTAAGCTTAATGTCCTTTTTCTTTACAGCTGCAAATTTTATGAAGATTTATTGGCACTCTACTACTCTTAAATACACATCTCCTGTGAAATCCACATTAAACCTACCCTAACTTTAGGCATATATTTTTTAACCTTTGTAAATAAAACTATTGTGTTATGCAATCAAACACTAGTTTTGTAAAACACATTTCTATCTGCATTAAACTAATGGTAAGTGTGATATTCCTTTAAATAAGATGATTGAATTCAACTGTATGACTCTACGTGATTTGAGATCATGTTCGTCGTTCCTTTTTTTTTGAGAGAAAGAGAGAGAGAGTAATGTTGGATATTACTAGCTGTTCTAAACACAGACATTTGGCTCCGGTACTCTCGCCAGCTCAGCTAGGTTATGACACAGCTTCACATGTTTAAAATGGAAAGGGTTATTTCTATATATACAGACCTTTGGCTCTGGTATTCTTGCCAGCTCAGCTAGGTTATGACCCAGCTTCACATGTTTAAAGTGGAAAGGGTTATTTCTATATATACAGACCTTTGGCTCTGGTACTCTCGTCAGCTCAGCTAGGTTATGACCCAGCTTCACATGTTTAAAATAGAAAGGGTTATTTCTATATATACAGACCTTTGGCTCTGGTATTCTCGCCAGCTCAGCTAGGTTATGACACAGCTTCACATGTTTAAAGTGGAAAGGGTTATTTCTTGCCTCCTCAAATGACCTCATGATTTTGTCACTCATCCATTCCACCTGAAGGTAAAATTTACAGTTTACAAGAGGCCCATGGGCCATAAGGCTCACCTGAGTCACTATGGCCCTACTGTTCTTCATCAGCAGACTTTTTCCCAATATATTCCTATGTAAACTTAGATCACATATTGTGGACCCCACCCTACTTTATGAATATGACTAATCATGACATTTCTGGCTTTGAGAAGAAGACATACCTATGAATTCCTATGTAAAACTTTGATGACCCATTTAGCATCTCCCTACCCCTTGGGGTCATTCGAATAAACTTGAATCTACACTATCTCTGGATGCTTCCATATAAATATGACTGATCATGGCTTGCTGTTCTTGATGAGAAGATGTTTAAAGATTTTTCCTATATATTCCCTATAAAACTTATTGGCCCATAATGGCACCATCCTACCCCCAGGGATCATGAAAACAAACCTGAATCTACACTATGTCAGAAGCTTTCATATAAGTTTGATCTTTTCAGGCCCAAAGAAGATTTTCAAAATGACCCTACCCAATTTTCATTATTTCTTAACTATCTCCCCCTGGAAGAGGATATGACCCTTCATTTGAACAAATTCGAATCCTCTTCACCTAAGGATACTCTTTGCCAAGTTTGGCCGAAATTGGCCCTGTGTTCTGGAGAAGAAAATGAAAATGTGAAAAGTTTACAGCAATTAGGATGACAAAAACAACTTACAATGGACAAATCAGAAAGCTCACACAAGCCTTAGTCTCTGGTGAGCTAAAAATGATTTCCATGTTAGCTTTTCATAAAATATGATGAAACACATTAGGCCTAAGAAAAAAATTTGTTTGCCTCCTATTACATGCTAAGAAAAAAAAAACAAATAGGGTTGGTAGGTAAGATTTTGTTTTTATTTTTCATTATTTTTTTTAAGGCATAATTTTGAAACAATTTTTTTAAATAGTTTGAAGCTGTCTTCTCCTAGTCATAATTTTTTTTATCATATTCCTGACAGCTCTAAAAATGGCTACTATGGTGATTCAATTTGATGTGTGTCCTGCATAAATTACAATAATTTTCTCTGGATGCATGATTTCAATACAGCTACATCCTGATGGATGCAATAAAATTTGAAAGACATATGAATTGTATTTTAACCATATTGTCTATTGTATCATATCTACATGATAAGCGATATGCACAAGTGATTTTGGTACATAAGCAGCTATGCAGGTATACTGTTTAAGGCTAACTGGCCAACAATAGGTCAGGTTTCACACCTCAGTGTTATTGCAGCTAGCAAGAAATTATCAGAAGATATTTGCACACTCCAATCTGTCTTTTAATTTCTCTCTTTAAGTATTGACTCATTAATTATTCTTTTTAACTAAACTTCATATCATTTTTAACTTAAGATATATCTAATACTTTACTTCATTAAATGTTTGGTTAATAGAACAACTATTATACAACTGCAATTATGCAGTTGTGTATGAAACAATGTGAGGTCATAATTACAACCTAAAAATAAAACCAGATTGTGTAGTTGACAATATATTTTCATGCCACAAAATAAAGTAATCTGACTGCCAATTGATAATGAAACACTTAATGCTACAATAGAATAGCACTTTTATGTATTATCCTTACATATTCACCAGAATTTCCTTTGTTATATGGAAAGATACCCTGAATTACCCTCATTAATTAATCATTTCTGGACAAAATAATTGTGGAATGGGACACATTGTCATCATTCAGAGGGGTCCCTTGGACCCATGATAACTGTTATCAAAATGAATCACTGCAACAAAAAGTGTTCTTACGATGTATGAATGGTAATGTTTGAAGGAAAATATACAGGCATGCAATATCTGGATTTTACAATGAAAAAGAATTTGGGTCGGCAGATAAAATTAGGGTCAGCTGAGTAACACTAAACCAAAATATTTTCTTAGGCCTTAGCAGAAATTATGCATTAGAAAGAAGTATTAGGTAAATGTTAATATTTAATATCATCTTAGATCTATAAATCTTACCTGAGATTTGGCAAATTCCACCACATTAAAACTGACATTGTTGAGCAGGGCAAGGGAATATGGTGAAAGACCTGATTCAGAATTCCTCCACATCTGGTCCTACAATTTGTGATAAAATAATGTACATTTACTAAAACCTCACTCCTACTTGTATGTACCTTGCGAATGGTGATTCCAATATACCCCCAAACTTTGTTTTGTGGGTCAGATTAATTTTCCTCCTGACCAAAAATTCAAAGTTTTCTTTTAAATGAGATAATATACAAATAACTCCTACCAGTGGCTGGTTTGATGGTACCTGTAATGGTCTGATTTGAAACAAATGTAAGTTTTAATTTATTAAGATTATATACTATAATGTGAATGTTATGCATCTTGTTAATTATGCAAATGAGAAGCAACACCCATTAAAGTGGAGGTGAATATTCCAGGACAACGTATTGTCTATACTGAGTAAAACATTACAGAAGAGATATTGGAATACACTACAGAAAAATATTTATACAAATGATTTCTTATCATGCACTTTCATTGCAGTTGATGGATGTTTGATTTTAATAATTGCATGGTCATTTGAGGCCTTATTTATATACAGTAAAACATGCTTATAGCAAACACATTTACAATGAAATGACACTTATATTGAAGTGATTTTATTTTCCCTTGTCTTTCAAAAATTTGTTAACTTAACAGATATATAACAAAGCAAAATCATCTGTCACTGGCTCTTCGTTATAAGCATGTTTTACTATATATATATAATTATATATATATATATATATATATATATATATATATATACATATATATATATATATATATATATATATATATATATATATATATATATTAGGGATGGCAACGAATGTTCGAACATTCGAATATTCAGTCGATGAGTTGATATTCGAATATGAATTTAAGATTGGAATATTCGGTGTTTTTCAGATTTCATAAAAAGAAGTACTGTGATTAATAAATTTTGATTAGAACAGTGCTGGAATTATCCCTGTTTAATTTACCAGCGATCAATTTCGATCGCCTGATTTCTTTCACTACTTTCTTGTCTTATAGGTATGCTAAATTACAGTTATTTTGTTTTGAGTAAGGTGTTAAAGAATTGTACAATAATGCTTTACGTATAATACAAAACGTACTTTCATAGTTTTTATTAGTTAGATACTATCGGATCTAGAATCGAGGACAACAAAATGAAAACCTTCTTAGAATGTGTAAAAGACGCGAAGCGTATACTTTTCAAAATAAATTTAATTGATCATTGAAGGAATGTTCGATAGAATTAGTCTGTAATTAATATTGCTCAATTTCAGAATAATTATGTAAATTACTTGATTTTCTCGGGTTGTACATAATCCAAAATTTTATATTCATTATCGGGAAATTAGTTAATTACATAGGAAAATTGTCTATGGAAATATTTGTTTAAACATTGTATCAAAGATGATAATCATATCTCTTATTGGGCAGATAATTGTATATTACACGTATTGAAATCTGAACAGTACACCGTTACGACTATATCTTGCCTTTGGTAAGACAACTGGTTCCTCAGTTGGAGCTACTATAAATACACATGTTTCATTTAATTAAAATTATACTTTTCTACATTGAAATCAATTATTTATTTCAAACATTGACACATATCAAATGGAATTTCTTATTGTACACCTACAGAAGTCTTCATACAATAAGTATACCTACGCTAAACCTTTCATGAGAGTAGGATGATGCATGTATAAATTAAACAGATTTTATTTATTTTATCGAATATTCGAATATATTCGAATACTTTCATTGAATATTCGAATATGAATTATTGACAAAATTGACATCCCTAATATATATATATATATATATATATATATATATATATATATATATATATATATATATATAGCTACTCAAAATTGAAGTGCAAAACACTGTACACAATGCTACCTTTTTTGAGGTCTGAATCTCCTTCTTTTTCATCACAGTAGGTTACCATGTATCATTTAAGTTTAGATCTAATAAATAAAACAAAGCCTCTTTCAACTCTATTTAACTTACCAAGAGCTGAGCCAGTTCCAGCATTCGACCAGCAGTATCGACAGCAACCAACACATTGCCATCATTTCTCATAGTCTGCAGGATTGTTGCTGTTAATCATTACACACCATAATAAATCTTAATTATGTAACATTCAATTTTAAAATGCTCTTTCTTAAAGAGTAAATCAAATACCATATTGTACTTATCATATATTTGGAACAAACACCTTGCATAAACCATTAAATTAATCTATGTGTATACTGTAAATCATTTTTATTCACGAGAACTTTATTTTCATGTAATTATGCAAGATTGCTGCTCACAAAAATTTTATCTTCCATATAATTCTACTCTTACGGATTATATTTAAGAAATGAATTTAATTTTTGAAGATTCATGAGGACATGAACTACGACGCTTCACGCCGGCATATTTCAAGAAGCGTGTTAGTGCTTCATGATAAATATGCCGGCATGAAGCGTTGTAGTTCATGTACCTAATGAATCTTCAAAAATTAAATTCATATCTTATATTTACATTATTTTTCTGATGAGTTTACACAAGTTACGCCATTCAACTGTCATTTTTGAAGCAAAACAGTTTGCACTAAAGTTTTGACGTCGAGTACGGTATTATGACGTCACAATGGAGATATTCTTGCTCATCTCATGGTAGTTCATGAGAAAATGAACTATCTTCTAATTTGCAAAGAATCTTAAGGAAAAATCCTTGGAAATGTAAATATAGAGCAATAAACAAAATTAATGAAATTTTTGTTCCAATTATAAATACCAAACAACAATCCCAGGAAAATAAGTTGTCAGGAAATTTAATGATCTACAGTAATACATGTACTTACTTAATAACTGCTCGTCTCTTGCTCTTCGTCTAGACTGAACATATGTGGCATTAAATGCATCTGTTATCATCAGATGTGGTCTTGAAATATTCTCTAGGACACAGCCATTCAAATGTCTAAAGGAAAGGTATGAACTGTCAGATACTGTCATCAGAGAGGATGGTAAAGATGGTAACTGCATGAAAGTCTAATTTTGATGTGGAATGTCCATATTTATAAAGAAAATGATTTATATTAACTCTTAATAAAAATATACATGTAAAATAAATTTCAATTTATTTTATCATTCTGAAAAATGGTGAAAAAAACCCCAAGTCACTATGACCAATGAAAAAAATAGCTGTCTGTCTCCTCTAATTAGGGCTGGATACCATACCGGTATTTTTAGAACGATACGGTATTTTTAATGATACAGTACTCATTTTATAACAAATGTGCTTTCACCAATCTTCAACCATTCAATGTTATAATTTAAAATGAGCCTATAAACTATGTTATACTTCAATCTTTTAATAAATCATCAACAAAACAAATAAATTGAATCTCAAACAAATTATTATAACTAGATACAGCTGACCGCTTCACCCGGTTGCCACTTGCCAGGACCCATTTTATTTGGTCGCACTAAAAGATGAAACATTAAAAATGGATAGAGATGCACATCACATTTTTGCGACATTTTATATTTTTTATTTACAGTTATTATCAGTTTTAATAAATAAAATTAAAACACGATTAATGTGAATGTTTTTTATTTTTAAATATATACATATTAATTTACCTCGAATATCGGCAGTCAAAAGCAAGTATCGTACTAAGCATCCATTTCGTTAATTAGCCTACCCTTTCAATGTGCGGAGAATTTTATTTTAGCAAGTCTGGAATCTCTTTTTAAAAAATCATTTTGAATGTATCAAAATGTTTCAAAAATTGAGAAATACCATTATTAGTACCGGTATTAAATGAAACGGTATTTTACCGGTATTTTTGAAAAAACTATTCGGTACATATTGGTACCGAGTACCGGTATCCAACCCTACCTCTAATTGTAACAATTTTAGCCTCAGTAGAAGATTACTCTTCCTTGGTTCTACCTTTCTTTCTTGTGATTGTAATCCACAGCATATACTATTTCTTCCTCTCCGTCTTTAATGATTTTCCAGATAGTACCACCTAACATGTGACCAGCAGGTAGAGGTGTTATCTGTAGACCATGACCCTTTCCTTTAAATCAAAATTGAAAAATTATAAAGACATATCAATTCTTCAGCAAAAATGCAGCTTTTCAGTTTTATATTTACATTCTAATCAAATTTGCTGTAAAACCATTACCATGTATTTAGTATGTACATGTATAAATGGATGAATTGTAGAAATAATTAACATTCCAATAAATCAAATTAAGCAAACTTTTCACAGGTTTGAAAACACTGAGTAAAGTACTTAATTTTACCTTTTAAATTCACAGTCTGGGAGTACTTAAGTTGCACTATTTTATCAAAAGCGACATCCACATCATCAAGAGTGAATATGTCAAAATCTTCAGTGTTGTGTCGAGACTGAAAAAGAAAAAAATTACATTATTTTGTAATTCAAGCTACATTACAATGTAAGTGTATGATGATGATTAAAAAAAATAACCATCTTTGGCAGACTTAGAGAATTACACAGAATTTTCCTGCAGTCTTAGATTTGCCATTCAGTCATACACCATTCAGGACAAATATCAAAATTTTAGTGAGCATATTGTAACCAGTGATGAAACAGATATTCCTCTATGATCCCAAGACAAAAGAGCAATGTAATCAATGGATGGAGAAGCAGTCAATACACCTGAAAAAATTCAAGGCAGGCTTCAGCTAGAAAGGTAACACCCATTATATTTTAGGACTAAAGAGTAATCTTTTGATAAATTTCAATCAGGGGCCAAAGTGTCACTGGTGAATATCAGTTTGCAGGAATCCACCGTGAAAAATCTGGGAAATAAAGATTTATTGACCCTGAGACTCATATTCCTATATTCTAAACCAACTTTCCCATACAACCATTTTATTACAGTTTTGTCATTTGAATAAATCTGAAGTGGTTTTTCTTCTACAAATTTCTTTCCCTTTGCTTTTATTTACACAAATAATATCCTTATTCATGGCAACAAACTTCAAAATCTGTGAATTCATCATTCTCTGGAAACTTGCAAAGGCTAGTCACACAGGAAAACAATACATTGTACAATAATTCCTAAAATACCAGTCATTTTGTAACTAATACCTACACAAATTCTTTTAATATATCTAAATAAAATAATGTTCTGAACAGACCTGATATAAATCATACATAAACATCTGTCCCATTTTATACACAGGAATAGTAGCATAAATGGGACAGTTCAAAATTCCATTTCCAACCAGGTAAGGGAGAGCACCCAGGTGTATGTGATCAGGATAGGTCAACAAAATAGCATCTATCTGATGAGCATGTCTGAAAGTAAAATAAATACATCTTTATAATAAGTTGAGAAATAAGACTACAATATTGTTGACTACACAATCAGAAAATGAAGATGCAGCATGCTTAAATGTACCTAGAAAATTCCTCATTTTAAATAATAAACATTTCAAAATTTTTAAAAATTGAAATTCGATCATAAATAATTCACTAGATCACCAAACCATGACTTCAAAAGACAAAGAAATGCATGATTAGTAATAGCTCATCTACTGACCTTTTAACTTCCCTAATGAACTCCATACTGAAATCTTCATCCCAACCGCAATCCAGGAGAAATCGGAACTCATCCACCTGTAGCATGTAGCATGGAGGCGATTCATTGTGAGCACCAGAAAATGGCTGTAGTTTTATAATGGATGTCATTCTGCTTGTTTACTCTATTATTAGTGTCTTCAACACATTCTGTTCAAAAATAAAAACAAAAGAAATATTTTTTTTCAACTTCAGCAAATTGAGGATCGATAATTAAGACTTATTTATGTATATGATAAATGTAGTAACTTTCCAATACAAAGAAATAGTTTCTCAAATTTTCTGCTTCATATTAACTTAGATTTCTCCAACAGCCACATTCAGACGTTTCAAAAATGAAAGACATTTCTTAAGTATAATTGCTATGTAATCTATAAAACGTGCTACAATCTAAAAAGTATTGAAATTATATGCCTATATATAAAATAGCATGCACAACACCAGAGAAAAAAATGATAATTTCCACATACCATATGCATGTGGGTCTTTATTGAAAACATCTCTTGACGATTTGACTAAAATTGGTAAACAATAACATTAAAACTTAAAAGGGCCAACTATAATTTGAAAGTATACTTTTATAACATTTGTATTGTTCATGAAACTATTTCAAGTCCTATTATTCAAAGGACATATCATTAATAAGGGAATGACAATTGTTAGGTTCCGTATTATGTGTTCCAAGGACAACCCCAGTGGTTTCAATTCTTATGTACAGCCTGAAAACCTGAGTTAATGATGCATTTTAATTTTATAAAATAACAAGTTGTCTCTGGTCTGACTGTAGCAGTTTATCAGTTCCAGTACAATCAGTACATTTAGCTACATAGCTTAAAGCCTTAATTGAATTACCTACTAAGCTTTATTTAGCTCCTCAAACTAGCTTTATTTAGCTACTTCTATGCAAGTTTTCACAATTTGGCTTTTTATTTAAAATAGACAAAAAATTGCAAGTATATAGGGAGTTTATAAAAAAAAAAGCAACCCAGAGCAGATAGTTTAATCACTGCTGCTTTTGAACACTTGAGCAAAAGATGTATGTCTGTCATTTGAGTAACTGTACACCACCTTGTGTACAGTGAGGCATGTATAAGTATGATTACTGAATGCATGTTCATTCGCCCCAAAATGCTTTCGCCCTTGACACCGTATGACCTAATTCTCATTCGCCCAGAGTCTTGTTCACTCTAAAACTCATTAGCCCAAAGTGCATTTGTCCTAAATATGTTAGTTGTGTAGTAATTTAGGCTGGACTGAAGATATCAGCCTGAATAGCTCAGCAGGTAGAGTACCTGACTAGTAATGCAGGGGTCCTGGGTTCGATTTCAGGTCCAGCCATATGTTTTTTCATAATGTATGTATGAATTTTCAATGCATGTTAACTTTTTCCTCCTTTCCATTCTGCTGATGGTGCCGCACGTGGCCTTCCTTGTTCAGGCATTATACAGTGATGATTCTGTGAATTGCCCAAAATATCTGAAATAGTTTGGGAGCTGAGGGACTGGCGAAATATGGGCTTTAGCAAGCCCAAAATAAGTTTAAATGAGTGACAAAAATTGAAGTGTGACAGTTTGTTCAACAACTTTTACATCCTGACCTGGCTGAATGAACCGCCAAGCCATCGTAAGGAAGTCTGAATCATCCCTATTTGTGTTTACCCCACTTGGAGATAAAAGCAAACTTCTGGATGACGCAGACTAAATCAAAACACGGTGGAAACAACTTTAATTTTTTTACCCAGACAAGATGGAAACAGATCGCTACAAAAAAAGGTACTGAAATATCGGAAAACAACCGTAAACATCGGATTCTTGGCTTCAAATTAGCAGAATTCCACTAAATATCGGAACAGAATCATCACCGATTATAAAAGTTCTGACAAAGTGAACTTGTGTTGTGTCTTCGGAGTGCTCAAACTATTTAAGGGAGGAGGAATGTAGTACATACATGTATAATTTAGGCTGGAATGAGGACATAGGCCTGGATAGCTCAGTTGTTAGAGCACCTGACTAGTAATGCAGTGGTACCAGGTTTGATTCCCGTCGAGCCATATATTTTTCATCAATTAATATAATTAAGTATTAATTAATTTTCAATGTATGTTAACTCATTCCTCCTTTCCATACTTACAGATGGTGATGCATGTGGCCTTCCTTGTTCAGGCATTATAAATTTAATACGTTCTATTTCCATTAGTGAACTCTTCAAAATTAGAGACGCGTTTGGTCGTCTGACTGGGACAGCATAGCGTGGCGGATAATACAAAACATGCCAATCTCAATCCAATTTTAAATGTTAAATGTATCTGTCATTCCAATTAAAGAAAAGAAGAATTAAAAGACATATGTAAGAGACCGAGAACCCTAAATTTATTATCCATTAATAAAAAATACGACATTTCCGAGGCATGTATATTGTATTTAGACGTACCATACGATAAATAGATACATACGATCAACAATAGATATAGATTGATATCGTTATCATTCCTACTCTTGATATATATAAAGTCCACAACAATAAAATATTTCATTTGCATTTTCTCAGGAATTGTTCATTGACATTCAACATATTGTTTACATGTTTATGTTACGTCTGTCCCAGAAATCCAGCGAGATTTGTACGTTTTCCGACTTCTTCACAAAAGAGCGCACTAAGAAGTATAACTCTTCCATAGTGGAAATGGAACGTATTAATGCTAAGTCCTGCCAAGGTGAACTTGTGTTGTATCTTCAGGAGCAAAAACCATTTAAGGAGGGGGGAATGTAATAATTTAGACTGGACTGAGGAGCTAAGTAGTTAGAACACCGGACTTGTAATGCAGGGGTCCTGGGTTCGATTCCCTGTCCAGCTGTATGTTTTTTTTATTATGTATGTAATTATGAATTTTCAATGTATGTTAACTCATTCCTCCTTTCCATATACTACAGCAAGTTATTTTTTTTTTTGTAATTTTCTTTGATTTAATTGAACTTCATAATTTTTTCTGCTAAATTATAATTTAATACATTCGAACATACAGTACTATAGATGAATAAAAATAAAGTTGCATGCATAAAATAAATAATTTTAATAGACAGACTATTCTGAAAAGCTAATAAAGCTATACATCTCCTGTATATCAAGAGATTGTGCTGGATCTGGTATACATATCGCACTTAACAGAGACCCTGTATTAATGTAATGCCTCTTCAAAAACTTTAGATGCATTTAAATTTTGAATAGTTATAACTCTTACATTAATTGATCTTCATTTCTCTGAAAATCAAGGGTTGATAAACGCCAACAAGCAAATCATGATCTCCCGCCGGGTTTCATGCTTTTACAGCTTCCATTTTGAAAAGAACGATAACTTTATCAACTTCCGGTGAACTTTGCCACTTGAGAAGATGAAAACAAGTTCGTCATCTTTTCTTTCGCCAATTGAATTTCGAATACAGCAATACAAATGAAGAAATATTTGGTTACAGGATGTTTTTATACTTTTTATCCATCGTGGCGTTGTGTACCTGTCTTATAACGATATTGTTTTTGAAATTTTCATCTCTGAAGCATTTTAACAGTGGAAACCAACATCAGCAGGTGGTACTTTGTCTAGGCAAAATATTTCATCATGATTTATTTTATTTAGTTGTTTCTTCTTGGGATAATTTTTGTCTTTGTCTATCATTTTTGTGTTTTCCCAAGTTTTAATGCAATGAAGACTGCATTTTAATTTATTTACATTGGATAAAAAAACCCCACAATATTGATGTAAGTTTGATGTACATTTTTTCTTAATTATTATTGCTTAACTGTTGTATCATTTTAGCAGTATGCATCAGCCCTGTCATGATCAATTTTATGATTTGTACTCATTAGTGTTTTGCTAAGGCTTTTGAAAATGGAACTTTGAAAGGTAGCTCAAGATTATCAAGAAAACTTGGTCTGGGACAATTACATGGGTCCCATTTTGCAAAAGAACTAACAACTAGGAGCAATATGTAATTTTGCAAATAACTTGCTTTTTACGTTAAAATGAAGATAGTTTTAATCTTTTTAAAAGAATTTAGAAAGATAAATTTATGTAGGCAAGTTTTGATAGAATAATTTAAAATTATGCAGTATACTGTACATGTACATAAATTGGCGTATTCAAAATTTAGCGCAATCACTGTCTGTGGAGGTGTTGGCCTAATCATGAATTAGCGCTACACATGTCTGTGCTATGTATTGTATATATAGATGATTTCTTAGCAGTATTTATAAATTAGCCCATCCTTGTCTGCACCAAAGCCGCTAAAATATGAAGCCCGCTTTTTTAAGTACAGTATTTCACAATCACTTAAAGTTTTTGGTCTTAGTAGGACGTTCATTTGTACAATGGGTAATTTAGCTTGAATTAGCTACATAGCTTGATTAAGGTATCAAAAAAGCTATTTTATCATACCTTTTTCTTAAGTGTGCAATTTTCTCAGCAAGTAAAAAAGTTCTATAAGATTTTGGGTTATATATTTTAGCAATTGATCTTTGACCACATATTTACTTCTCAAATGATTTTATAGAGAAGAGCAATTGTTATCAACAGGATAATAGATGGTAATAATTCAGCACAATGTGATGTAATCATACTTGGTCATGCGGCCATGCCTCATCACACACAAGGTTTATACAGTAACAAAAAAACAATGGAAATACATCTTTTGCCTAAAAGTGATCAAAAGCAGCTAATGGCATTTGTTTTTGATTGCTTTTTAGCTCACCTGAGCCAATTAAAGGCTAAAGTGAGCTTTTCTGATTAAAATTTTCCATTGTTTGTCATTGTCGTTGTCAAATCAAACTTTTAAAATTTTCATCTTCTTCTCCAGAACCACTGGGCAAATTTCAACCAAAGTTGCCAAATAGCATCCTTTGATAAGGGGATTAAACTTTGTTCAAATGAAGGGCCACACCCTGTTTTAAGGGGAGGTAATAAAGAAATGTTGAAAATTTGGATGGGTCATTTGAATTTCTTCTCAAGAACCACTGGGCCAGAAAAGACGAAACTAATGTGAAAACTTCCTGACAAAGCATAGATTCAAGTTTGTTTAAATCATGACCTCCAGACGTAGGGTAAGCCACTATGGGCGATCAAAGTTTTACAAACTAGGGAAATATTGGAGAAATCTTTAAAAATCTTCTTCTCAAGAACAGCAAAGCCATGATTAGACATATTAATATGGAAGCCATCCTCAGGTAGTGTAGAATCAAGTTTATTCAAATCATGACCCTTGGGGGTATGATGGGGCCACAATGGGCGATCAAAGTTTTACATGGGAAAAACTTAAAGGTCTTCTTCTACAGAACAAAAAACCCATGACTAGTCATATTTATAAGAAAGCATCCTCAGGTAGTGAAGATTCTAGTTTGTTCAAATCATGACACTTGACATAGGAAGGGGCTTTAATAGATGATCAAATTTTTACAAAGAGGGATTTTTACATAGAGGGAAAATGCTGATAAAGAACAGAAGGGCCACATTAACACAGGTGGAAGTTGTGGCCCGTGGGCCTCTTGTTAAATAGTCCTTGGTGCAAATATGAGTAGTACATGTAACATACTTACACTTTTTTCTACCTATTAAAAAAACTAATTAAAAAAAACTATTGAAAAAGCATTATCTAGCTATTTTTAATAGCTTTTATTAAAGAAAATATAGTTAATTATAATATATGTAGCTAAATCAAGAGATTGTGCTGGACCTTTTAAGTTTAAGCATCTTGTTATCATATTAAAAATTGATAAATACATTTTCTCAATTGCAGGGAGCTATATCAATATCTCCAGTTGAATTTTTGAAGCTACTAAAGAAGTCAAAGGTTAGTAATTTTAAGATACTCATAGAATTGTACGAACTTAAAAGTTTGGATTAATTAGTACTAGTAGGGAGACATCACAAATTATCAGGCATGAGTAAAGTTATCACCCTTTAAACTGAGCAAACTCATTGGGATTATAATTGAGAGAGTTGACTCTCTTGGTTTATAAATGAATTGGTTATTTTTTTTTCTTTCTGTTTTTCTTTTTTTTTCTCACACTTGCATTATAATTGTTAATGTTTTGTTCGTAATATCCTTTTTAAGTTCCAGTTAATGAGAATAAATTGTCATTGCCCCAAGGGTCATGCACCTAAGAGTGATAATCTGGCCTAATGAGACTTGATTATATGTAGGCTGTCCAGTGGCCCTAAACTTCCTAAAATCCCCCCCCCCCCCCCCCAAAAAAAAAAAAACAAAACAAAACGAAAACAGCTAATTGCATTTTGCTACAATTCCTAAATATATGCTGAAGTAAAGGTGAAATTCTTTTGAAAAAATCCCAAATTTTCCTGCCAATTCCTATTTGTTTTTATATTTCTACACTAGCATCTTTGAAATGTATTCATTCAGATGAAAAAAAGATGAGATAACAAACAATGATCAATCTCAACAAAAGCTAAAAACAACACAAATCTGTGAACAGGCATAAAACACTGACCCCCCCTGAAAATCCCAGAGGTGGGATCAGGTGTAAGCATCTTCTATCGACTGATCAAACTTGCTGTGAGCCCTTAGTATTGATCAGGTAGACAAAATAAGCTGTAGTCAAATTTAGTATAAAAACAAAAGCTTAACAATTGGTATGAACTATGTTAGTCAAAATACGACCCAATCATAGGTTATATTTGCTAACAAGGTCATTATAACGACCATAAAATATACAAAATGCCGACTTTAAATGAAAGTAATTTAATTCTGGTTGTAACACTTTATTTGATTGGATAAAAAATTTACTTTATGTCATATAAAATGGGTTGCCTACATCACAATGACTTGCGTCAAAAACGTATCGATCCGCCTGACGTTACATTCAAATTTTGTACAAATTGAAGTCATTTTTAAGGACAATCATCTTTTTTTCTGACACCAAATGAATGAAAATTAAATTATAAGGGATGAATTTAATAGCTACCCAAATTATATGGTGTAAACTGGGTTGGAACAGTTTACACTTTTTTATAAACCGCTTCGCGGTTTATAAAGCATAAACTGCCCCTTCTAAGGAAATGTGTCAACAGACAACACTGATGTTGCCATTAGAGTTAATTGTTTAAATCAATCCTGCATATTATTTAAGGGTTTGTTAATTAAATACATTTAGTATTGAAAAGTAATGTTGAATGTGATATAGGAAGAATAATTAGAGTTGAACTATTCATTTATACAGCTGTAGTGTCAAATGCATTTATGCAGATTGCTTCACAATTTTAAAAAAATTTTGGTATGTATAAGAGAAATAAGACATTTTAAAATTAATTATATTAAGTTCATCAATTTAAAAATAATTAGCTTTAATGTGAGGGATTATGGATTTTATCTCTTCTTGACTTTCTTCTTCTACCTCTTTATGAAGAAGCTGTTCTGTATTTCAACATGTCCAAGTGTTAGTTAGCTCATTACTACGTACGTGAGTCATACATGATGTAACATTAACACACAGTTAATTTTTCGTAGCCATTTCCTGTTGGAATTGTAAAGAACTGGAAGATTTTGTCATGTCAAAGTGGAAGCAGGATATGGACAAGGAAACTAACGACTAGTGGGGGTGCAGATGTCAGTGTCATTGCCAGCTTTATAAGACTTCCTTCCTCTGCTCAGGTAAAAACAGAATTTTCCGGGTTTTGTAAGACTTGCTTAACACTAATCAATGTTCAAATTGTCATACATGTATTTATTTTTTATCATACAACAAACACTAAATGAATGTTTTGCTTTATTGTCTTTGCAACACTATCTCAATCTTTATATTTTTAAGTAAATATTCAATTACTGATTATAATGTACTGAAAGCATTATTTATTTATAAAAGTAAAGGCAAGGATCTCTTCTACAATGTAAATGCAAAAATAATTTTTATGTTCATATTAGGTTATCCATCATACTCTGAAAGATGTTTCAAAAACTGCCGAGTGGAAACCAGGAGTGGAGACAGCCACGTGTAGAGTTTCAGAGAGGGCCACCCTCCATAGATCCTCCTCCTCCTGGATGGAGTCAAATGTAGGGGTGGATCAAGTGTTAGAAATCACTGTGGATCCTGTCTTCCAGGGAAATGATAGTGTAGAGATGTGTCAAAGAATGTTAACAAGGTATCAGAATTATTGGTTTGAAAATAAACAATATTACATAATCACTAGTGCTTAAGTGTATATAATGTTTGAGAATTAAAAATAAGAATAAAACTGTATGACCTTGTAGGTCTTAGTGTAGTAAATCAAGGTATACATATGAGTCTATGTCAGCCTTTAATATCAAATCCAACATCTATGCATTTTACTTACTGTTGTTTTAATCCAGGCATTGGTATCGAGAGGATAATGGTTGCTGCTGGCTTTTGGAATCAGACACTGACAAACATGAGCACATATTTTACCTTTTACAGCCATTAGAAGGTAGGAACAGCAGATTCTAAATATCAAGCATTAAACTTATAATGGGAATTTTTAGGGACCATCTAATTTTGGCATTATTATGGTTTTTGCAATGCTAGAAATAAATGCAGTAATAATTATATCATAAATATTGTCCAAGTAAAAATGATCAGAGTTACCACAATATTACTTTCAAAATATGTACCATAGAATGGGTTATTTTGGCAACTGGCACCTTTAGTGATTTTATCCTAAAAGTGGGTATTTATTTTAAGCGTAATTCATTTTTAGCAACTTAAGTGACAACTTCTATTTGTTATTCATGACAATATTTGTAAATGAATTATAAACGACATCTATTTTGCCATTTTGTTATTTTGCTACTTTGCCATAACTGTCGTTAATGCCATTTTGCTATTTTGCTACTTTGCCATAACTGTCGTTAATGATGCCAAAATTAGATGGTCACTAAAAATTCCCATTATACAGTAATGAAGCTAATAATAAATTCCACTTTATGATTATGTTGCTAAATTTTACTTTTTCTGAAATACTGTGAAATCACTAATTTTCGTGGGGGTTTAATTTTCGTTGTTTTCATGCTATGAAAAGACCCACAAATTCATGTCCCTCACGAAATGTTTAAGTTCCATTTTGCAGTATGATGATTCTCCTTAAACCACGAAATCAAATCTCTTCAAACAAGTAATTTTTCCTAAAACTTCAAAAATCTTATCCCTCAAAAATAAGTGATTATATACAGTACCTGATTATAGGTATTTTAAGTTTTTGAAGTATGCTTGAATTGGTGCATACTGGTGGGTGAAGGCACTGGTCATATCTCTGTTTTTATAGAAGGATAGTACATTATTGTATTGTAAAATCAACCCTGTTCTGAAAGTAATCCATTTCAGTACAGTAACAAGTAAAAGGAAAAAATGAGGACTTTCAGAAGACCAGAGTATCCATGTACAAAAGACTAAATGGTTTTCCCATTCAAGACACATGTTGAGTAATAAACAACCTTACTGATATATTAGGAATAGAATAAGCAATACTTTACATGGAATTGAACAACACGTATCTCTTTGTTTATTTGTAGATGTAGAAACATCATTACTTACTATACTAAGTTGTTCAACCAGTCCTGCAGTGTGTTCAACAGTGGAAAAGATGGTGTCAGATCATCTTAGTTCATTAAGAGACTACATTTTCCACAGAAAATTGAAAGCAACTCCTTTTATTGATCTTAAATTACCTAGCAAGCACCACGCATATCGTGGATTTGATGCCTTGTCTTCCAGTGATGACGAAGATGAAAGTAACATTTTCCAACAAAAGTTTCACCAACTCCATCCAGAAGAAAAACATGTCATCATACAGAAGTCAGAATCCATTTTAAAACTCTCCCCAGTGAAGCCCTCTGCCAGACAGCGAACATTATCTGACAATATGAGTATCAAAGAATTATCAGGTAGTGATAAATCACGTCCCCGATCCCAGACTCACCCCCACTCATGTATGTTACTAAAAGATTCACAATTCCAGGACAATAATAATATCGATAAATCAGCTTCCAGTGAAGTGGTGCTAAAAAGTGATGGTGCTATAGTAACAGAGACAAAATCCAAGAATGAGACAGCAGTAGAGCTGGCTCAGAACCACAGCCCTCCAGTGACTAGGGAGGGGGTGGAAGAGAGAACCCGTATAGTGACAAGGGAGGTAGTGGATGAATCCGTCAGTGAAATGTCGGACCTCAGTGAATCTTCTAGTCCAGAAAGGGAAGAGCAGCATGGCACAGGTAAGTACTACCACAAAAAAATGAATACAGTAAATAGAATTATTTTATATGAGAACTTTATTGAGGCATTCAAGAAAATGAAGTTTTAGTCATTGATGGAAAGTAATAATTATAATTGCTACTTGTAGGAAGAATGTACAAAATATATGTCTTTCAAATGAACATAGTAATTTAAGTGAAAAATAAATAAATAAATAAAAATAAAAGTGATTTACAGTATATCTCTGGGGAATTGATATTGAGCTAACTAGATACAAGAAAAGATATGGGGTTGATTAAAGCAATAAGTAAACAGATTTTGATTTAATTATAATAATTTATGTACACAAAATTGCAGATGATGAAAAGCATGCTAAAGAAGTGGCAAGAAACACAACATTGGCCAATCAAGTGGCAGCAGAGTTACTGGCCTTAGTAAGATTATGTCTTCTTCATATGGGGTAGATACCTATTGGGTTTTGCCATGGTTGCCTGTCTCTTTACCTGGTTGTCCATCTGTTAAATGTTTAACCATCTTTTAAATGTTTGTGTTAACTTTCAAACAATTCAGTGGAATGAATTCAGACTCTAGCATTATAGTGTTATTGACCAAAAATAGGTCTTGTTCATATCTTAGAGGTGAAAGTCACTGAGCAGTGAGATGTCAAGATCTTATTTGGTCATATCTTTGAAATTCAGTCTGAAATGAATTCAAACTTTATAATTTTTTTTTTTTTAACAAAAAAACTGGGCATGAGGAAAAGGGGGGGGGGGCTGTATTATTATTTTTTCTGAAAATATGTTTATGTAATTATAATCTTGATTTAGTGCTGACATTGGTGTTCACATTGATAAAAATGGCATAATTTTGATGCAAATACAAGTCATGGTCATATAGTAATGGCCCGAGACACTTCATGATGTCAAAAGAATTATAAAAAAAAGGAGGGCTTCTTTGAAATACTCAAAGTAATGTTACTCAAAATCTAAAACAGAACAGCATAACCTTTTTTTTCAGAAGACTTCTTAGTTTGTAGACTTTCTGGCATAATTTCGTTTAATTTTGTTTAGTTACTGAGGTGAGGGAAGGGCTTGTGTTATTTTGGAGTTTTATCTATGGAATTCATTCAATCAAGCCTCTGTTGAAATCTTTTTTCATTTTTTTTTTAATTCATTCTTGATCCATCATTCCTGGTACCAAAAAAAAAATGATTCTGCACCAATTCTAACATTAATATCTAGAATTATCAAAATGAGAAGGCAATCTACTTTTAATAGATCTATCTACCAGTAGATTTTAGTATCGAAGAAGTACATTTCATAGACATTTTTTTGTAGGTTCATAGGGTTTCAAATTTAGATTTGAAGGCCTCACCGCAGCAACAGCAAGACTCCACTGGAGGATGGATGTAAGTTAGTCAACTGGATTTTACTGAAAACTCTTCAACTATTCTATGCTTTGCTTCTTATGTTGAAATAACTACTTTAATGTTAATTTGTAGGTTTTGTGGCTTTGAGAGTGATGTGGTGATCATCAAGCGTCAGTTTCACAACATCAATTTGTCAGGGAGGTTAGTTATACATGTTATAATTCCTGCACATTTATAAAATTGTTTTGCAATACTAAATGAAATGTTTTTAAAATTCTCATTCAGCTCCATTTTCCCATTATTTAAAAACATAATATTCTTTGCCAGCTTTTTTTAGTTAATGTCAAGTGAGTTTCTCTGATTACCAGTTGTGTGACATCCATCTGTCGGTCTGTGCTTCCTAGTGTTAACATTTTACATTTTCATCTTCTTCTTAAGAACCACGAGGCCAATTTAACCAAAGTTGGCACAAAGCATCCTTGAGCAAAGAGGATTATAATTCATACAAATGAAGGACCAAGCCCACTTCCAAGGGAGATAATCATGAATAGGCAAAATAGGATGGGGTCATTAAAAAAATATCTTTTTTACAAAAACCACTAAGCAACAAAAGGTTAAACTTATGAAAGCTTCCCAATTCTAAATTGTTTAAAACATGCCCCCCCCCCTTACACAGGGTTAGGAAGGGGCCACATTAGGGTATCAAGGTTTTACATTGGAATAACCATTAATTTGCAAACATTTCCAAGTTCTGTGGATTCAGTTTTTTTTTCAAATTATAGACCCTGGGTTAGAGTCGGCTTAAATCAAGATCAAATTTTACACAATGTCTATAAGGAAAAGAATTTTCTTCCATAACTGCATGGCCATGTTTGTCATTTTGATATTTAAACATCCGCATGTTGTGTTCACATTGCCATAATATGGGGTCACAATTTTTCATTGATATATATAGGAGAAAAATCTTTTCAAAATCTTCTTTCTTCTTATGTTACTCAGGTAAGTGTTGTGGTCCATCGACCTTTTGTTGTCATAGTATCAATATTGAGTAAAGTTGAATTGTTATATAAAATATTGAAAATCATGGATGAGTCAAAATAGGTCAGCATTCCCAGCTGTAATATATGTTCAAGATCTTAAAGCCTAGTATATCTTATTTTTTTTATTATTATTATATTTGACAGACCCACAAAATTTGATATTTTTAGATCTGACTGTACATTTCTATATAATGTAGTGTTCAGTTCTATGTAAGAAGAATAAAAACATAAGACACATTGATAAAATTTAGAATTGACACTATAATTAAAATTTTAGCTACATTGGTAAGGGCATTATCCATGCTCCTCCTCAAGCTGTGATGGATGCTGTAAAGAATCCCAGGACTAGATATACATATGATGACAGCTTAAAGGTATTAAAACACATACATAAACTGCATGTAATAAATATGTAAACTCTGATTTAAGGAGGCAAAAGTTGCCAGATAGTTTGCTTTTTACCTCTTGCAGTGGTACTTTTCTGTATTGCATGTTTTGAATGCTTGATATGTAAATACTCTTAAACTCTGTCCCAAATGAGGTTTTCAAAGTAGTTTTTGGCAACTACACAAAAAATTTTGAATTGTTTTGAAAGAATTACAATTTCAAATTTCCTCAGTCATTTATACTCAGATTTGAAATGCACAACTTGAAACAAACCAGTATGATACATTTCTTTGAAGGTTACAGAAAGTTACAAATAAATTGATGTTAATTTCTGCCATTCCTTTCAAGTGTCCAGGGAGTAGTCTTATTTCAAAAAGTCATTTGAGTATAACCTCTCAATCAATTCCAAATGATGCTACATCTTTTAGTGATGACAAGAAATGAAAAATCATAAATAAAGATGGATCTCCTCCTTAAGTAGCAGCCATTTTTCTGTACACTGAATTTTCTGCTACTTGATTTCAAGGGATTGTGTCAAAGCAAAATGTTTGGGTTAAAAAAAAGTTAAAAAATAAACAAAACCTAGTTTGAAGGTCAAGTTATTTATGTATTTTGAGATATAAAGAAAAAAAATTACATTGGCACTGTGGGACTTACTATAAAGAGATTGTAAACAGTTGGTTAATAAATTTGAATTCTGATATTGAGGCCATAAAATGAGCTAAATACCTTATTATTTGTAGAGAGTAGATATCTTGCAGCATGTCACTGAGAAGATTAAAGTCGGTAAGTTTGCAACATCTTTCTTCTATCAGAACAGAAAATATCAAGAAAAAAAGATGAAATTATTAAATTAGAGAAAGGTACGATTTTTTTTCTTCCATCAACATTGTATGGTCTTTCTGTTTCAGTATATTACAGTAATGAGGTTCTACACAAGTTTAAGAAGTATCAGTATGACTGGTGTGTGATTCAGAGTGAGAGACAAGATGGAGAAAAGCTTGTCTTATCCATGGAGTCAGTAGAAAATGACCTTCCAGTACCAGCCGGGGTCAACAGAATCAAGGTCAGGGTCAGACATACAGGACTTTTCTAGATGAAAGCTGTTATCAGTATTTTGTATACTCTTAGTTAATGCTTTTTTACAATAATGTATGCAGAAAAGTACAATAAGTCAACTGTTGTAGATCCTCCCTAGTGGTTGGATTATAGAACCAGTTATAAGGGACAACAAAACAGTTTCCTTGGTGACATATGTCATGCAGGTAAATTGATTGAAAGAGATTAAAAAGATATTTTATCTACACAAATGTAGTAAAAAAATAAGTTCTTAATAATTTGCTAAATATGCAATTATGCCATATCTCAGAGCAAAAAAAAAAAGAGTTGAAATTCATAGTGTTAATGAATTGATGTAAATACACCGTACATGTACATATACCAGATAGTATATGTATATGTTCTACATTGATTTTTATGTTTTCTGATTCAGATGAATTATGGAATGTGTTCTGATGGAGCAGCTGATAAAATATTGATTGATGAAATGGTATCAAAGCAGCCCCTCAGCATAGCATACCTACGTCAGTACTTACGCCCTCCCCTCACTTTGGCTCGTAAGACCTCACACTCCAAGAAAACCTTATAATGGTCATGCTCTAGTCTCAAGCATTTTTTTTTAATTAAACTAAATTGTTCATTGATGTGTTCATACAACTAGTGATTTTTGCCATTTGACTGTGCCAAAACATTTTTTTTCAATCTTGAACTTGTAAAGAAATTGACATTATTTGGGTAGTACCAGGGTATGTTCATTTAAATTAAACTGCAAAAATACTAACGGGAACAAGGTTTAAGAGATTCCTTGCATGAGCAATAAAAATACATGTACTTACATTAAAATTTGATGTTGTATAGTCTGAACAGTTCAAAAATAGTTACCACATATTGTAACTAAAAGGATTTTGAGCATACTACTATTCATTATCAATATACTATTACATGTAGTTTTCAATGTTTTTTGTTTTGTTTTTTTTTTTTTTGGTGCTAGCTTGTATACAACACAGTGAACTTTATATTAAAATACATGTTCTCATTTTTTTTAAAGTCTATCTAATGCAATTTAAGTGGTTTAAAAGTAAAACCTGTACATGTGTATATATAGAAACATTGTCACTGACATAGGGGATTTGTTTTTTAGTACACATGTATAGGAGACTTTAACATACAAGTAATGTAGTTGTTCATACAAACTAGTATTTTTTGATTGTAAATAATTTTAATAATGCAGAAGATTAGGGTATTTAGTGGCATATGTTATTTTGAAATTAAGAAAGAAATGTCCTGATACATTCTGTAACATTTAGTTTACTTTATTAAGGTTGTAATGCATATCTCTGAATATTTTCTTCTTTATTTTTTTTTTCAGAAGGGGAGGGAGGGGCAATTTATATTTTATCATAGTGAGGAAAATACCATTTGCCTACATGTGTTTTATTACCTGTTTGAATTATACAGAAATCCATAATATTTCTTAGAGTATTACACTGTACCAGCAGTTTTAGCACACACACAAAAAACAACTTGGTTTGGTGTACATGGAGTTAAATTTTAGCACTGTTTCCAAAACCAATATTTTAAATATCTTGTAACCATTTACCAAATAAGTACTGCATGTACAGTAGTTACAATGTCCATTATACATGTACAAATAACTTGTTAGCATACAAATAACTTGTTAGCATACAGTTAATATAAAAAGGCTTGATGTACATGTACCTCATATGTATTTGTTGAAACTATATGCTTAATACATGTAAGTGGACATTATGCACATTGTACATATTGCTTGTAACTATAACCTAAGTTTAAAGTAGCTAGAGTGTACATATCACATGTAACCATACACTGAATAACTAGTTAAATTGTACATTGTACATATTACTAGGAACTATAGATTAGATAAGTAGATACATGTATATGTTATTTGTTGTCATTTTCTTGAATGTGCCACTTTAGAGAACTATTTCATGTGTAATTAAGATGTGTCCATCATTAATTATCTCATTTACCGGTACATATTTTGAATGCCCTTCGTGATATGTGTATATACAATTATACACATACATAATTATAGTTACATGACTATATTTTTATTGAATTGTTAGAGATAATCCCTGAAACAGATTAGATTAGCTGAATTTTCCTTTTTTGCAATTCTTCAATGGAATTAAAGAAAGTTCTTGCCAATAAAATTTTATTAGTTACACCTACTCAGTAGTGTACATTTATTACTTTTTAACATTATTGTTTAATTTTTCTTTGCCAATGAGTTAGTGTTGAACAAATGCATTTACCTGTAAATATGCCTGTAACATTGCTTTTTCAAAACTAAGAGCAAAATAATACTCACATATTGTGTACTTACTCCTGATGCCAGTACAGTCATAGATTAATAACCTAGTTTATATGATTTTTTTTCTTTCTTTTTTGGACCACCCAGTATTATTTTTAGGAGAGATTTACACCAAGTTCAAATACTTTTAAATGGAATGTTGTGTTTATCGGGTACATGCCTTTTTAGCATAGTCACTGTAGGAGTAAAAAATAGTCACTATAAATGAAAAGTATATTTACTTTAGTCTATTGCATGAAGTATATAATGTTGAACGTATATCATTTTTGTATGTATCATGTATTATTGTGTAGATGAGTATATAATTTTATTTGAATATATACCAGTGTCTTACTATACTATGAAGCTAGAAATTTCCAAGTTTTTTTTTTCAGTGTTCCATGATAAATTTCCAAGCCGTACATGAATATGTTATTTTAATTGAAGGTAAATTTTGTTAGATATGATAAAGATTTGAAAATATTTGAAAAGAAATGTGAACAAAAATAAGAAAAATGTTTTATCTGTCTTCTTATCGAATTTTTTTCACACAGGTTAGATTTTGATTTATTTTATAGTGATTGCACTGGGTTTTTTTTATATTTGAACTCATCAGTTTCATAGATAAATTTATTTCATGAGGGAAAATCCGGTGAATCTTAATGTACCTGTCCAAGGTAGACAGGCCTGTTCATCAGGTAAATAAATAATGATGTGTAAGACCAGGATAGAAAATCACTCTGCTGAGTTAAATCAACTATCAAGAAAATCTCAGGAGAAATGCACAAAATGTTTAAGATCAACACATGTCTACCATCAAGTTTCTCCAGGTGATGTATGTAGAATATAAAGCTGTAAGATTTTTGTCTTTTATTCTGTCAGAATATTGTAGTCTTTCAACCACAGATATATCTAAATGTATAAAGTGGATTGTACACATGTTTTATATCTGTAATTGATTATAGACTCATTTGCTCACAATTTTAGCTTTCTTTAAATACCATAGTCTGTAGTGTTTGGTGGATAAGTACATTTGAATTGCATGTAAACATGCTCAAGTATTGTTAGGTATTATAGTTAAGGATTTCTAACTGCCAGAGTAAAGAATTAGTTTTTCAGCTCTAATGTACTGTAGACGTACACATGTATTTCAGTCAAGCCATTGTTGCTGTTCTTGTTTTTTTGGGGTATTAGCACCCCATCATGTTGTTGATACAAAGATATTGCTGCGTGTATCATGGGTATATTGGTTGCTCAAGATATCAATAAAATAATGTAGATGTAGCCTTTTGTTTTCCTTTAAAGAAAAAAGGGCATTATGTTTACTTAATGTTTACATTCAATTCTGTAGAGTTATCATGTTGTAAATTTGGCATTTACCTCCACCTAGTAAATTCAAAATTTACAACATGATATAATCTTAAGCGACAGTCTTCATTACAGTATTTCAAGTCATGGTATTTGGTATTGTTAGCAAGGTGATATTCTGTTAAATGTTTTATAGCAGACTCTAGCTTTATTGTAGGATACATTTTTAAATCCACATAAAACAAGTTTTAATGCAAAGGGTTGACAGAGTTCTAGTTGCTAAGAGTTCTACCTAAAGAATGACAAAATTAATGCTATATTTTACTGATAAAGAAGGGGATGAACGCCAAAAGTTAGCGGAATAAAAGTTTCTTCGCTATGTCAAACAGCAGTTTAGAGAAGTTGAAACAATTTATAGTTTCCTTCAATATACAGTTTTAGTGAACTATACCAGTGTTCAGGAAAACCAGGAACATAGCATCGCAGTGGGGGGGGGGGGGGGGGGGAGGGCGGCAAGAATAGTCTTTTTTGTTGGTAATTTGGTATGGGGAGACTCTCACTGAAAAATCGTTCCCCCTTCCACTTTTTGTTGTCGCACGATCGACCCCACCCCCTACGAAAAAGATTTCTTTTGATTTATGAGTTTGTTTTTTTTTTTGGGGGGGGGTACAGTTTTCCTTTGTCAATACCCCCCCCCCCCCTTTTAAAAAAAACGATGCTACGTGCCTTTAAAGGATATTGACGTTATCAATTCACCTTATAAATTGTTGAGTCCAGTTGCATATTAATTGTAGGAATGTCGCTTAATTACATATATCATTTAATTACCTATTAGTATGAAAGCCAATGGTGTAGAAAGACGCACTGCAGTGTCCATTTTATGATCTTTTTCATTTCTACTTTATATGCATGAGATGAACATCGTATCGCCACACATAGTTTTTATATCTATAACACAGAGAGGGTCTTGAAGGGATATTCCAAAGACCTTGATGCAATAATTGAAACAAAAGTTTACTCGTTATTATATATTAAATAAATTTTCATCGCCGTTGTTGGAATTGTATATCAACACTGAATCAAATTTCTTGCTTCTACTAGATAGCCCTTTAAGTTGCTGAGTTACTACCCCTGATAGGTCCCCAGGATTTGATGTCATCGAATGCATGTCTTTGACAATTATGGATGTGCGGGCATTGATGACAACAAACGATTATATCTTAGATTTTTCTTACTTTCTTTGATAAACATTCGAGGTCGATGCTCTTGGTTCCTAACAAAGGATACTACTGACCATGAAATTACTGGTTATCTTCTTAAAATCCATTATAATTGGTAAGTTAAACAAAATCATTCAGTGACTTTATTCGAAACATATTGATTCGTGTTAGTTTTTAGGGAATTTGGTTTTAGCTTAGCCTAAGCAATTGTAATTGCATGTGTCTGAAATCTCGATGTATAATCTGTTTTATATTTATTTTTCTTGTAACCCAAATGTTTAAATACATGTGTATATGTATCAAACTTGCGAAAAGGAGGAGCATATACTAGTAGCTGGTGTTCCTTTCTAACGAGTCCATCTAGACCTATAGCCAGGTTTTTTTACATATATTGGTGAATATGTATAATTTATAAATATCCTGTAGCTCAGGTATGCGGACAAATTCCGGTAGAGTCCCCCACGGACTTTCTAACAACGGGAAACCAGATTGACACCACTGTAACCAGGACAATCGTAGATCGTCGGATTCCCTCCACCCGAACAGCCATCGATATGCGCGTGCCCGCAACGAGAACTGTCATTGCTCAGCCGTTACCTGTAGATGTTGCTGTGTCCGCGGAGCAGGGACGCCCCCTCCAGCTTAGTCCTGACGGTCAATGTCCAACTTTTCTGTCCCGTTACGAAGGGGATATTCTTGTCATAAATCTTGTACCGGGAACATGTGATATGTAATTTATTTTCCAAAGATAGAATTTAAAATTCAGACGACACATTCCTCAATAATAAATAATTTCCCACAAGATATTGTTATTAAAGTATAACTACTTAAACAACTTTACTCACAAAAAATTAAGGTACCTTACCAGACATTTGTGCAAGATACGAAAGGATGATGTTTCCTATATAGTCCTATTAAAAATCACTTGAGTTGCCAATATTATAATTGTAGAGTATTTCTTTTTTTTAAAGACGTCTTGAAAACAGTTTAGAAATCACTAGATGATCACAAATTTTAGTATTTTTTATATTTAACAAAACAGATATTCGAGGAATGTGTCGTCTGACCTTAAAGAGTGTTTGAGTTGTTTTGTTCAATTCTTTGTAAAACCACATGTATAAATGTAAATATTTTTTTGAATAACATGGACTTTCTTTCCTCTTTTTAAGGCTTCGATGTAGTTAGTTTGTACTAAGATTCCATTAGTTAATTTTCTTTAAAAAAAAAAAAATCTTTTATTGGTTATTATGCATATGAGCCTCACTTCGGATCTTTATTTATAGGTTAATTTTTGTTCAGGACCAAACACATTTGTTTCCAGCAGCAGCTGATGTTCTCATGAACACTGGCGCAGGGTATGTACACCAGTCGTTAGAAGTAATATTCCAAACAATTTATTTTGGACACACCTTCATATATGGCTGTTTGATAAAAATTTCTTTATTTGAAGACGAATTCGTCTACCAATGGTGACTTTCCGGGGTAATAGTTCTACCAACAGTATAGCGACAGGCTGTCCCATGATTCCACTGCGGTATCTAGGACCTCGAGTCGTATTGGATACAATCCCTGGACGATGTCAAATGTGAGACCTTCACTGCGGCTTTTTTATATGTTGTTGTATGTGGCGTATATGGGCTAAAAATTGTAAGAGCAGGTGGTATTATCAGATTGCAGATATATCGAATTATAACCTAGTCTTTTTCTTTTTCAGAGTTCTTGGGATTCGAACATTTCCAATTTTAGGACAATTTAATGCTCCAGGCTTTGATAATCAGCTTCCGTTACCAGGGGAACCGAGGTTGTGTTAGTTTTAATTTGTTTAGAGTTCTATTGAATATGTAACTTTCTTTGTAAGTTTGTCTTTTATTATTTTCGACCTCTTACGTTGTAGGTGGGTGACAAGAGCAGTTTTCGAGAGAACAAGCGGTATTCTCTGATGGTTTATGTGAATTACAAGGATTATATCAATAAAATTAATCACTAGGCGTATAATAATGACTTTTGCTGACATTAAATTTCTTTATGTTCAAAATTGCAGGATGTATAATTTGTTTAACTGAAAGGACTGTACAAGACGTCCTTTTGGATAATGTGTATCAGACTGTCAGTGCACATTGATGAAGTTTTATTTTAAGCTAAATAAAAGCAGTTCAAATTTTGACGGGAAATCATAACTGCAAACCTTTATTTTTCACGGGTACATGGCAGTAAATACAAGTTGTAAATTTTGTATTTGCTACCAACCGGTGAATTAAAGATTTACAATATGACAGTAGGCCTATAAATGTACTTTATTAAAGTTTTCTATGTTTACATATTATGAAACTGTAGTGGAAATCCCGAAAATGATGACCTGAAGAAGAGTGTTCCCTGCGTCCAGGAGTGGGCTCCGGGCCTTCCCCTTTCGTGTAGGATTTGCAATGTTATTTTTAATGAATTAAAAAAGAATATAACTATGGCTGAAAATATGGGTTGCGATCGAATCATAGTCCCTTTAGGAAAAGTGGACCCTGACCACTTCTTAAAAAAAAATATGTGAATGAGGTAAAGTTACCACCACCCCCCTCACACACAAACACACCATGAAGGTTTAGAGACCCCTCAATAGGTTAGTAACATTTCCAATTCGACCAAAACTCTTTTCCAGCAGAGGTCAACTAAATTTATTTACTTATCAGTGGCTGATCCAGAATTCTTTTGAGAGGGTGTTGGGACAGGCCGGGTGATCTAGGACTGCCTTAATCTGAGTTTCTTATGACCTCCGGATTTATATTTGATATGTGCAGGGGAGACCTCCATTAGGGCTGTCTTAATGCCCCAGTTGATGCAGGGCAAGCCTCATCATGCTCATGCAGGGTTCGACACTAACGTTAGTCCGTTAGTCTCAGACTAATACATTTTCATTCGGACTAATAAAATCTGGGGCTAATTAGTCCGAACGGACCAATAAAAATTCCTAGAAACAATATCATATGTATAATTTACCGATGTCCGATTCTCCACAAGATTCTTGACAGGTCGTTAGACAATTTCAAGTCAGCGCTTAATATTTTGACTGATTGATATGATGAAAAACTTTTTAGCGATCATAATTTATATGACACATAAAAGAAAGATGGCAGACATTTTGGATTTAATGTAAAGACAAAAAGAACGAGATCGGAAATACCATCGTACTCGTTGATCTCGAGATTTCAACGAATCTGTGCTGTGGAATAAATAATTTCACGTAAAATAAAATGCTTTGTTTATTTTTAAAAAGTATAAAAACGTTTACTGAAATGTTTTTACAAAACATTGATGTTTCCTTTTTTGACGGACTCATAAAATTGCATGCGGACTAGTAAAAGTAAAGAAGCACTAGTCCGGCCGGACTAAAGCCTAAAAAAGTTAGTGTCGAACCCTGTCATGGTGTATTCTATTTAGAGAAGTGGACAGGCTTTCGCCTACATCCAGGCGAAAGCCTATCCACTTCTCTAAAGAGAATAGCTCATGGTACCCAGGGAGCGAAGTCCTTGAAGGTTTCGCCCCCCCCCCCCCCCCAAAAAAAAATCCTACTTACATGCGCGGATCTAGAAGGCGATCGAATCCCCTGGAATTTGCAGAGTTATGAAAAGTATATACTGAAGGAAAGAAAAAATGACTTTGGACTTTCCCTAGAAAAACGTGGGCCCCTCCATCACCACCACGAAATAGGTGTTTTTTACTTTTGGGAAATGGGTTTTAGTAATCTCAGCGAGATTCGTAGGGACTAAAAATTTTGAACACCTAACCAAAATTTTTAGTCCCTACGAATCTCGCTGAGATTAGAGTTTTAGGTTTTGTTTTTTGTTTGTTTGTTTGTTTGTTTTTTTTTTTGCTTGTCAAGAAATTTTCTGGGTTTATTACGTTTGGGAGGGGAATTTAGGTTTTGTTTTGCTTGTCAAGGAATTTTTGGGATGGAATTTTTTTTTTTGACAAGGATGGAACCCCCCCCCCCCCTTTTGGAAAAAAAATCCTGGATCCGCGCTTGAGTAGTTCTACTAATTTTTGGTCCTAAAAAGAGGGATCCGTACCTAAATCCGCAACTGCATTATATAGCTTTATAAGTAAATATGTTTTATTAAAATTAGTCATCTCATTTGCTCCCTGGACAAAAAACAGACAGAAATTTATCTTTGACCCGATTTCATATTTGATATGACGACATGAATATTTATCCGGAATTACCGGACTCAAGTTGAATATTAGCCTTCGACAGTGTGTGCTGAGAGAACACGAAGAAGGTTCAGATGAATAGATGAACCATGCTTTTAGATAAAAAAAAAAGTAATGTTACTAAAGAGAGAAGTGTTTTAGAATAAGAATAATAAGAAATGTC